TTCAGATTTGGCTGAATTGAATCGGGGACAGTGATCTTAATCAACTAATCGAATCACTGTCCCTGATTTGGGCCGAATCCAAACCAAATAGGGCCCGCTTTGCACACCCCTAGTGGATATTTATCCATTATGATCTCCCATGCTGCTTTCAAGTTACTTGCATTGTCAGTCAGCAAAGCAAATACTTTACCACGTCCAATCTTCTGTAGGACTTCACACATTTTACTACTGATATACTCTGCAGTATGCCTGTTCTTTCCTGTTTCAGTGCTTCTGTAAAAAAAACAAAAAACAAAAAACTGTTTGAGGTGTTATCGCATAGTTTGATTCCTTCTCCCCACACATTTGTCCATCCATCTGTAAGTACTGCAAGACAACACAGTGCTTTGTTGAGTTTTCCTTGCACAGATTACATTACACATTCATATTCTGTCTGTAAAAGAGACTTGCTCAAAGAATATCTGCTGGATGGTCATAGTAATTTAAAAGCTTCCTGCCAGTATGCAGTTTCAGTTCTTGACAGTGGCGTCATCCCAGAAGAATATATTGGTCTGGCAAGAGCTTGATCAGTTTTTTTCCTGGTTGTCAGGTGTCATCTTGTCTACAAATGAAGCTACTGAGAGTCTTTTGTATACAGTTGGTTGCAATATTTGGTTACTTGAGGATGTTGATTGGGCAACCCTTTGCGATGCTGATGTAGAAGAAGCAGCTGCAGCAGCAGCAGTAGGAGGACTTCTGGATCGAAAATCTTGGAAAGAGCTACTTGCACCTTCATCATCATGATCTATCTCCTCCTCACACCCATGAAGGATTTTTTAATGTCTGCCGGACACTTCTTACATGCAAAGCTGTGTTTGGCCATCCTAGTAGCATTTGGAAATGCATATTTCATTTGACAGTATTTGCAAATTACATTTGTTTTTTTCTCAGAACAACTTGCAGTATGGAAATGCTTCCATATGCTAGAAGTTGGTCACACCATTTTGCTGAGGGAGAAAAAAGAAAAATGTGTTTTTAGTGGCTAGCTTGCATATATAATCACTAAGCTACAGCATGTACAAATTTAGTAATGGAGGGAGGAGAGGCCTCCTCAGAGTTAACTGTGAACAACTTCCCTGCCCTCCAGCCTCATCTCACTGCTAAGGTTGGGTGATTTGTCACAAAACATCAGATTATTAGGAATTCAATTATGAATTACATAGGTTATGAAAATTATACTAATGCAGCTAAAATATAATATACTAAATTAAGAGAAATTTAAACTCTTACCTTTCAATAAAGAAGTATACATTCTTTTAGCTCCTTTGTGCTACTTCTGTACTTGTGGGGCTCTCAAGGTCACAGAGCCAGGAGGAGGCAGGTTCCTTTCAACTCCAAAACCTTTAGACTTGCTCTGTCTCCTCTCCTGAGGCTTTTGAGCAAGCAGGACAATAAGCTCCTAGTTTCTCATCTCTACAGGAACGAATGGATGCTGCTGCCAGTGTCCACTTCCAGTCCTTTGCGGGGTAGTCAGGAGAACAGGAACAGATCCACCAACCTCTAGATCAAAAGTCAACAATAGAGGAAGTCAACAAGCAAGGAAGGCACTGAATCCTTCCTTCTCTTGTGAAAATGACAGTGCCCCTGGGGGCAGAAAAGTATCTTGCTCTTGCATTTGAGAGTTGTACTGTACTGCTCGTCCTGGGTGTGCAGGAATTGTAATGATCTGATACTATGGATAGTCTTACATAAAAGCCTTCCTGTTACATAGTTATTAGAAAACATTTTGGGGGAGTAAAGGGTAGCAGTATGTGAAGACCTTGTCTTAAAAATTGTATTCATCATTCTAAAAGAAAGTATTTCATAAGAGGTTTCTTTAATTTTTTTTATTCCAATTTTTCAGAAAAAACAGGAGAAATGTTATTTTCCAATATTTTTTTTTCTGTTTTTTTCCAGGCCTTCACATTTCTAAAGGTCAGAAAATTCCAAATCCATATCTAGCTACTTAATTGCAGTGCATTGGGATCTTCCAGCTGCTGGGCACTTGCAACACTGACATGCTTTTAAAAGTCAGGCAGTTGTTACTTTAGGGCTCTGCATTTGTTTCATATTTGTATTAAGACCTAAGTGTTGTTACCTTGGATCTATTCAAGTTTTAATAGCTGATTATAGAGCAGGCTGAGGTGTGTATCAGGTTTGTGCAGGGGTAGGCAAAATGCGGCCCGCCAGGCCATTCTATTCAGCCCGTGGGACCCCTAAAAATTTAGAAAATTAACATTCATCTGCCCCGGGCTGCCTGTCACGTGGCCCTCAGTGGCTTGGCAAAACTCGGTAAGCAGCCCTGCACCCAAAATAATTGCCCACCCCTGGGTTTGTGGGAGAAGTCAGCTAGTTAAGAAACAAAGGAAAAAGAAAATGTCACCTTGTAATGTGTAAATTAGATGTTCTTTTTCATCTCTGAAGAGGTTTCCCCTGATTCTGAGTTTCTTATTGTGCAACTGGTAGAACTTGAGGTTTCATTGCTCCTTTAAGGTCAGCTTGCATTGAGCCTAAGCTCCCAGTCTCCTCCTTTCTCAGGGCAGCGAGCACAAGGGCCTTATAACCTGTGTGCACGATACCCAGTTCTTTAGGGTGTGTTGATACCTCACTCCTCATTTACATCGGCCAGCCCAAAAGCTTTAGTCTTCCACGTTCTCTGTTCCCTTCACCAAGAGCAAAACCACTTTCTGTAGCAGTGGAGGCTCTAGCCAGTATAGGGCAGTCCCTCAACTTCCAACACTAAGATGAGATAAACCAGGTACAGCAGTGGCTATAGTACATCCTACCTCTGGGATCACTTTGTCCTTTTGAGTCCTCCTCTGGTTCTCTCCCAGACCAACCCAGTGTAAGTAACAGTAAAAACAAAAAAAAATAATAATAATAATAATAATTTCTAGAATGCCATGTGAGAGGAGCTGAATACTGCTTGAGAAATTTTTCAGAAATGCAACTTACTGGTCTAGTCTGGAGTCTGTGATACTTAGCTTTTTTTTCTAATAAAGCTTCTTTTCAGAATTTAGTAAATATGTAAGTACCATAAAGTTACTCTTCCTTTTAAAAGCTGTGAAAAAATTGCACTGGCTCCAAGTCCTACAACAGCTAACGCGCTCTGTTGTGAAAGCAAGAGCTTAACATTCGAAGCCAGCATGCTGCTGACTCCAAAATGGAATGAGTTTATGATTTCATTCAGAAGTGGTACACAATTGGAAGTTATTTGAGAAGGCAGATCAAATGAGTTTGTGGGCCTTTTTTTTTAAGTCTGAGTTTTAATAAACTTTGTATTCAAAAGGTGGTGAGCCTTTCTCCTTCTCCACTTACCAATATTTCCTAAAAGGAGATTTGCTACTGTGATGATAAACTTCCTAGAAAAGAAGGCAAATATTTTTAATTTTTAGTCTAATGTTCTTTTTTCTCTAGTTTATAATGGGTTCTTTCAGTCAAGTGGGAAAAGCAAGAATGACATTTCTAGTATTTTTGTTGTAATTAATCATTCAAAGCAGAAATAAGTCAAGCTGCAGTTGTTCTAAAGAATTCATTAAATGCAGTTTTTTCCTTTAATGCCACACACAGCAGAGTGGACGATGGAACTATATGAATACCACATTACTTAACTTGTAATATGGTTCACTCTCCATTCTTCCCCCACCCCTCTCCAAACCTTTTATGCTCTTTCTGGTTTTAGATATTTCTATTGAAAGATCTTCTGGTTCATTTCAAATCAGCACTTTGCACCTGTCTGGGGTGAAACTGAAACTGCATACGCATCTTGAGCATAAAATCTAATTAGCCTAAAAGATTGAAGCTTTTCACAAGACTTCTCTTTGCATCTGTTCCAGTACTTTTCTGCGAAAATTGGCTGTTAGTTATATTAATGAACATTTTATAGTCTGGCTTCTCAGTTCCCTACTGTAAAAAATAAAAATTAAATTTTTTTTTTTTTAAAAAATTAAAAAAAATTCAAAGTTCTGAAATGTACATAGTAATAAAAATACAACTTTTGTGCCTTCTCAAAAGGGCAGTCCATGTTTGACATCATTGCTTCACACCTCATTATTAGAGGTGTTGAGCTGGTGCAAAGACGGGACATGACAGAATGAATAATAGTATATGGAGAAAGTCTGCGTGCTGTTTTTAACTCTACCTCTGACATAAGTAACTTACTTTTTACTTCGAAGATTAGTCTGCAGGCAAAAGTAATCGGAACTCTTGGGGAGGTAATATCTTTTATTAAACCAACTAGATCGCTGCAAAAAATTCCTTTATTTGCAAGCTTTTGGGCATGTGCGTCCTTCCTCAGGCATAGGAGAGTGCAAAGATTGTAAAAAATTTCTCTCAGGTGGAAATGAAAATTCAGATCTCACAGGAGAGCAGAGGGTGTAAGATCTCCTGGTTGGAAAAAATCATTTTATGCAAAATAGGCTCAGATACAAGTTGGAGCAGGCTCCTCTGCAGTTTGAATTTTCATTTCCACCTGGGAGAAATGTTATAATCTTTGCACTCTCCTATGCCTGAGGAAGGGCATGTGTCCAAAAGCTTACAAATAAAGGCATTTTTTTTGCAAGCATCTAGTTTGTCTAATAAAAAATTTCACATCCCCAAGACTTCTGATAGCCCTTAAATGCACGAAAAATGTAATTCTATATGGAAAATGGTCAGTTGCAAACAATTATTCTCGTTTTTGAATTGTAACTGGATTCTTACTGCTGTGGTGAATTGATATTGTTCTCTGGCTTGCTTTTAGCCAAGCTTGACCTCTCTTAGTTAAATTAAAAAATATATAAGTATTCTCATAGATCAGGACAGCTTTCAGAATAAGGTCGGAAAATAGTACATTAACTATGGTCAGTGAAGACAAAGGTGTTGACTGCTGGGTTGTGATAGCCTTTTCACTTCTAGTTCTTCTTTGATCCAAGGAAGCGGAATTGTAGAAGATCCTTGTTAGTTTGTGAGCTTGTTTGCCATTGTTGTTTGTTATATCCTAGGTTGGGAGAAAATTAACAGCTTGGATGGTGTTGTCTGGAAGGACCCAGTGCTGGAAGATTTTAAATTGCTAGCTGACAGGGAAGGAACCCTGAGGTTGCTTTTCTCCGACCCACTGGAAGAAATCCTGATGATAAATAATATCAATGTTTTGTGTGTGGTATTGTATAACAAAGCTACTGAGATGCACTTGCAGCGTCCGTGACTCTTCATAATGCGTTATGCTAGTATCTTACAGTATCATTCTTTAAAAAGATTTAACTGGTTTCACTTCTTCGTTTCTAGGTGCAATCGACACCATCGGCACTCGTAGAACCTAATGTTCCAACAGGACTACTTGGTGCTTTCCTAACTTCCCTCTCTATCAGAAATAGTCCTGTTGCTGTATAGCTTCAGATTCCATAAATTTCAGTTTAACTACTATATAAAAGTTATTAGCAATCTGGAAGCAATGGGGATTGGTAAGAACACCACGTCTAAAGCAGTGGAGACTGGAAGCTCAACAGAAGGCAAATATGAAGATGAGTCTAAACATCCAGCTTTTTTCACTCTCCCTGTAAGTAAAAGTTTCAAGAACTTTTGTTTTGTCATAAAACATTTCTGTCATCTTCAGGTATCAGGATTAGCAGAAGCTTAAGCACAGTGCCAGGATATTCACAGAGGCCTTCTAGATGTTGAAATACTGAGTGGTATAGGACTAGAAAGGGCCTCTGGGGCCATAGTCTACTCTCATGGAATCTCCGCTCTCTGTTTCACTTCCTTGCAATGTGGTCAGGTCCTTTGCATGCAAAGTTCCTCGGTCCAGCAATACAAGTCTCTTTGGGAAAAGACCCCTGTCCGATGGGTCGCTTTAGTCCTTGCAAAGTCTCTCTCGGGCAGTGCTGGTAAAGATAATCTCTCCATTAGTCTGTTGCTGTTTTGAATTATCTTCCCAATCATTTGCTTAATTACTTCTTCAATTGAAGCTTTTCCAAAAAAAATATTCATAACAAAGTAAAATGTCAAGTATCGGATTTGTCTAATACTTGCTTTGTACATAAAGGGTTATAATACAAAAACTAATCCAGTTTAATTGCAACTGGACATTTGATGTCTTTGCTTTTCTGAGGTTTACTAAATAATGATATGGCATACTTGTCACAGTTCTTGCAGTTCTAGGGAATTTGACTTTGTATGTGCGCGTGCACGTGTGCAACTTCTATTTTTGCTATACTGTGCGCCTATTAAACCTAAATTACCGTTGCTTCAATTAGTGTTCCCTTTCAAAACCTGGCTATCCAGATCAGAGTTAGTAGAATTCACATGTCTAGTAAACTTGGTCCAAATCATTCTTAAGTTTGAGTTGTGTCATGGGAAGGGGCACAAAAATGTAATATGGCACCTTCTAAAAGAATAAGCTGCTTAGAAGGGTGAAGTGTCAGGAGACTGGTTGGCTGCATATTGAGTTTGGCCTGTCTTGGCAATACAACTGGGATTTGAATATGTGTGCTCTTTTCTTCACTTGTGTTTTGAAAACAAGAATACGTAATTGCATTTGCAAAAGTAACCTTTGACTAGAAAGAAAACTTAGCTCCAACCAGTGAACATTCCTAACTGAGAATTTACTGACGATCAGTTAATACATAAGATAGTGTCTGGTAATTCTCATGAATACACAAAACTAAGTTTGAACCATTTCCCATATCGCAGTTTACTGTAATGACAGCAAGGTGTACACACCACTTAAGCAAGTAAAACAATGCAAATGCTTCAGCTGGGCACATTCAGATGCCCAGTGGGAGATGGGAATTGTCCTATATTGTGTCTCCAATATAGGTTATGTGATATGAATGACAAAATTAAGCACAAATAAATTGCTTGGCATAAGAGATTTATGAAGTAAGAACTTAGTGATAAAACTGTCTCTTATTTTATTATAGGGGTTTGTTTTTCCCTTTCCAATTGGAGGAATCTTTGAAACAGTGGGGGACAACCTTTTTTGGCTAGCATGCACCCTTCCCAGATGCCATTCCAATCCCCTTCCCCTGCTTGATCAGCTGCTTTGCCTTCTGCTTCCTGCCCTACCTCCCCTCCCCAATCTATCACCTACCAAAGGTTGGCCACCTCTGCTTTAAAATATCACTTAGAGTTTTCAGATGGAAGGAATGACTTGGTCCAAGAACGAGTAGAACTGGAAGGAAGAATATTAGAGAATTCCTTTGTGTTGTCCCCTTGTTATTTTTCCACTTGGTAAAATGTTTCCTAGAATAAAGCAATGTACAAATATGTTATTGGCTTGTCATCGTGGTTCAACTGTCTCCCTCTTATTCCCATACAACTACCCATATATATTAAGCAAGATGATGACACCTAATGATTACTTCCAACACTGCAGAGCTTGAGTACTGCTCGAGATATACAATTTTTCAAAAGTCAGGATACTAACTTTGTTTCAGTCATTACAGCCTCATTTAGAAATAGGCCACAAGATAAATAGTTAATATAGGCAGTGCCATGAGGATAAGAGCTTTTTGAAAATAAACCATAATACTGTTTTTAAGGTCTGTTGTAAAATATCAGCCTTGTAGAAGCCAAAAGGGTGTCATACTTCTTTTTTTTCTAAAACAAATGCTTGGAATTAATGATTGAGTCTTTCATAATTGGTCTTGAGTTACCTGTTATTATCTTTGCACAGTTGGTGTGAAATCCTGTCACAAGGCTTGATGGAATAATTGCACACACAAATGTGAACGGTTATCCTGAGAGAAATTATTTCGTGCTTTAGAATCATAAAATAACCTCTTTATATTTGTAGGCTCACCATGTGCTTGCTGTTATGTAGCTGTCTGAGCAACAGGCCATTAAATAGATGGTAATGCAGTTCCCCAACACCACTGTATAACCAAAAATGCTTGAAAGGGCAGGTATCCCTAGCTGTGTCAGACATAGTAAAAATCAAGTCCTTTATAGGACACGTGAATACATTACAGTTCCTAAGAACTGCTTGGACAAAGTGGCTGCCAAAACTTGATACCAAACCCCAGGAATATGTAATGCATTCTACTCTTGTGTCTGTTTTCAGGATTGAGATAATTAAACAAAAGCTGTTGTTCCCTCCTTTTTGTTCTTAATTTCATCTTGATTGCCTGCCTAATCCAGGGGCAGTGATGAGTTGGAATATCAACAGATAGCTTAGTGCTGCATAAAATGAAGAAAGATTATCCCATAAAATGGAGAGAGATTATTTTTAGAGATCATAGTTCTCAAATGCCAGAGATGTAGCCAGTAAGTCTTAGTTTTAGGGTCAAGGGCTGGTTTTGATCAGTCTCAGAAGGAAGGGGTGCGTGGTGTCCGGAGCTGTACATACTTTGTCTTTATTACTATCTAGTACCATCTTCCAACTCTGCCTGACATTCTAGCATTTTTAGTTGGCTCATTTTCTTTATCACTGCCACAGAGGTGGTTTTATTTTAGTCAGAGTTATGCAATATTGGATTAATTTCATTCTGTCTTCATCCTTTCCTGCAACTTTGATCTTTCCCTTCTCATAATTCCTTCACTCATGTTCTAAAGACTTGTATTGTAGACACCATCTTCCCAAGTGAAAAATGGTAGATAATATATCTAAGATAGATAAATCAATCTTAGATATAGCAATATATATCTGAAAAATATAATGTATTTATTTTTAAAACATGTTAACATCTTGCAGCCACTCCCCCACGAAGGTGCCAGCACAGTAGTCAGCTTTGCTGTCTCATTGTGCTGGAAACAGGAATTCTCATTTATGTGCCCTCTAGAACATGACTGCTCTTCATTAGCAGGACAGCTAATTTATTAAAACAACTTGGTTGAAGAAGCATGGTATGTTATGAATATTTCCACTGTTTTGGTTTATTTTACCCCTAGGTTCTGACACTACTATTGAAGTCGTTGTGCCTTGGTACTTGACAACACCTTTGTGGCTCCCTGGTTGCCTACAAAAATTGTGTTTTTGAAAGGTCTCGAAGTGTAGACCGTCATGAACTGGGTTAGTGTGTTATGTTAGACTCCTACTAAGGTACCAATCTATATGCTCACACGTGGCTACGGTTCAGGTTTGCGCTCGGTATTCTCTGTTAATTCTTCTTTTCAGCGTAATTCCGAAGTTCCTGCACAGACAAAACATCCGTTAGTTTTAACTTAGAATATGTCTTTTTGTTAATATGGCAAACCTGTGTGTTCAGCCCCAAATGCCACATGTCATGTTTGTTTGGACCTGAAGGCAGATCATGGTGCTGTTCCATGCATCTAAAAGCATGTTTGTTAAAACATAAGTGTTGATTGCTGGATATTGTAATGGATATTGGAGAAACTGGCCAATTGTCGCCTTGGGTCCTCCACGATCCACTGGCTGGAAAATTGGCTCCGGGGTCGGACCCAGAGGGTAGTAATCGATGGAAGTCACTCATCGTGGTGTCCTGTGACCAGTGGGGTCCCCCAAGGCTCTGTCCTTGGACCCATACTGTTCAACATCTTCATTAATGATTGTGGACACTGGAGTCAGAAGCGGACTGGCCAAGTTCGCCGATGACACCAAACTTTGGGGCAAAGCATCCACACCAGAAGACAGGCAGGTTATCCAGGCTGACCTGGACAGGCTCAGCAAGTGGGCGGACGAGAATCTGATGGTGTTCAACGCCGATAAATGCAAGGTTCTCCACCTTGGGGAAAAAAACCCCGCAGCATCCTTATAGGCTCGGCAGTGCTATGTTGGCTAGCACCATGGAAGAAAGAGACTTGGGGGTCATCATTGACCACAAGATGAACATGAGCCTGCAATGCGATGCGGTGGCTAGTAAAGCGACCAAAACACTGGCTTGCATCCATAGATGCTTCTCAAGCAAATCCCGGGACGTCATTCTCCCCCTGTACTCGGCCTTAGTGAGGCCGTAGCTGGAGTACTGTGTCCAGTTTTGGGCTCCACAATTCAAAAAGGATGTGGAGAAGCTTGAGAAAGTCCAGAGAAGAGCCACGCGCGTGATCAGAGGTTAGGGAAGCAGACCCTACGATGACAGGCTGAGAGCCCTGGGGCTCTTTAGCCTGAAAAAGCGCAGGCTCAGGGGTGATCCGATGGCCACCTACAAGTTTATCAGGGGTGACCACCAGCATCTGGGGGAACGTTTGTTCACCAGAGCGCCCCAAGGGATGACGAGGTCGAATGGTCACAAACTACTTCAAGATCGTTTCAGGCTGGACATAAGGAAGAACTTCTTTACTGTCCGAGCCCCCAAGGTGTGGAACAGCCTGCCACCGGAGGTGGTTCAAGCGCCTTCATTGAACACCTTCAAGATGAAACTGGATGCTTATCTTGCTGGGATCCTATGACCCCAGCTGACTTCCTGCCCTTTGGGCGGGGGGCTGGACTCGATGATCTTCCGAGGTCCCTTCCAGCCCTGATGTCTATGAAATCTATGATATCTTATTTTGGTTTTAAAGTCTTTAAATTATTGTAAAATAAACCTCGTTCCTTTAAAATTAGATCATGTTCAGGCCAAGAAAAGGATTTGTGTGTGTGATTTTTCTAATCTTGCGTAACTGTTCTGACAAACCTTAGATCATTTTAACCCAGAACCTCAGAAGAAATTAACTTTCCGAATCTTTGTGGGTTACAGTTGAATTGTTTGCCAGCTTGTCCACACAGTTGAGAAGTGAACTCCTCTTTCATCTTCACAGGTTGAATTCTGTCTGCTGTTTCTAGCTAGAGTAAGGATTGGGTTCTCAGTGTTCAGTAATGTTTTCTCACCTGTGGAAACTGTTAACACAGAAGCTAAAATCTCCTGTGACTTCTTACCTAGTTGATTTTCATCTTAAAACATTAGGCTGTACTTAAAACATTCGGTTCAACTTAAAACATTAGGCTTCAAAGAAGCTATAAAATGGTGTTGGTTCACTTTTGCTTTACCAGTCCATGAGCAGAAGATGATAATGGTCTGAGTCAGTGCCTACTTGAACAAGCAAGCTGGATTATTATAGGATCCTCTGAAATGGCATGCATTTTTATCAGAGAAAATTTCCACTGAGGAGAAAAGGAGTTAACATGTCTTTTCAGCATATGCAGTGCTGGTTAAAGTCCTGAAGCTGAATCAGTAAACAAGAAAAATTAATCAATTTTTGCCTGCAGTTCAACCAACCCTTCCTGTGCTCTTTTTTTTTTTAAATGATTGTTTTGTTTCTAATCAACCCCCTGATTGATTGATTGATTGCTAGAATCCCATAACCTGATAGTATCAGTTTGGAAAGTCTGTGGAGTTAAATATTAAATGAAAACATGGGGAGAAAGCGGAAATAGAATGGTCTTTATGGAGCCAAGTAACAAGTATAAAGATGAATTGATAAAGGGCCCTTTGGCTTAATCTTACTGTTCATAGGGCCTTAATAGTTTTCTTTTTGTGTTTCTGTTTTGTCTTTCTAATTTGCAGATGTAGTATCAAACCCATAAGCTGGGGCATTTTTATGTGTTTATTTTTTTGCGGGACTGTTAGCAGCACTAGAAATGCTGAAAACTACGATTCATGTTGTATACATGTAATTTCAAGCATAAAGTAAGGATTGGTTTATTCAGAAACTCAATTGATTATCACAATATACACTTAAGTTAAAGTAGTCTCCTGCTGCTTACATGCCTATAAAAAGACCAGTGTTTTATATTATTCAGATAATTAGTATTTGTTCCATAACTAGAAGCCTGGAATTTAATAACAGATTGAAATACTTGGCATCCTGTTTCTGGTTTATTAAAGGTTTTAAGGAAAAAGCAAGTAATCCTCTACACAAGTCAGACTGGAAAATGTTTCCCATGTGCTTTGACATTTTATTGAATAAGCTATCTAAACAAGATGGATGGGGCTCAGGAAAATTCACACCATTGACTTCACAGTGGTATATTAAAATATTCCATAATGAAAGGAGACTTAATTTTCGAAGGCTTACTTTGCTCCTCCTGAGGACTGTAGTCGAACTTAACCAAATCTTTCCCTTTCCTTCTTTTGAGGAAGCCAAAAATTCTCTATATTCACTGAAGTTCAGCTAAAACTATTTTTGAATTCATGATGACAGACCCTATTTAGTAAAACCTCATGTTTAGCTACTGCATTACATAGGTTTGATGAGAGAGACTGATATTTAAGATCAATCTTCTCTTAGCAAAATAATTTGGTGGTATGTCACATACTTTGAGGATGTTCTTTTAAAAAATGGTGGTCATTGGTGCAACTATATTCACAGGGGTATGCAGTGAGGGATCTTGGTACAGTACATTTTGTATATTGCTGTTCAGTGTACTCTTCCCTTTGAACAGGACTTTTTCTGTAGCACTTTTTTGTATATTCCCCCTTCAGTTTTTTGCTTGTGTAAATGAGCATGACAGCTGAGTTGTCCCATATGGCACAGAGATTCTGTACAGATAGGTGTCATGTTGTTGCATTTCTGGGTGAAATCCTGGCCTCATTAACTTGAAATCTTGAAGCCAATAACTTTGCCAATGGGGTCATAATTTTATGAATCTATTTTATTGCATCCTAATGTGAAGTAGCTGGCGTAAAATTTTTAGTTGAAAAATGTAATTTTTAATATATTATGGAGAGTTAATGTCTTCCATAGAGAAAAATAGCAAATTAGCTCCCGTCCTTATTGCTTTTCAGTATTGTCTCTGCTATTTTCTGTCCCCAGTGCTAACTTGATAACTCTGCACGTGTTATCTTTGTTCTGCTGTGGAAGATTAATAGTAAGCGCTGTATTGATTGCAGTTTGGGCTTCAGTTTGCACATGAACTTCAAATGACTAGGACTTGATATCCTTGATAGTGGAAGAGAGGCCCTTTTTTATACACTTGCACACTGTTCACAGGTTAAGAAAAATAAATAATTCCAGTAACAAAAGTGGAGGCACTGTAAGGGGTTTTAACAGAATATTGCAGCAGTCTCCACATACCTTTACACTGAGACAAAAGGATATTTAAAAGCAGGAGACTTGAACTTGGATTTTTTCTTTTTTTTTTGTAAATCATCAACTGATGAGGGTTGAAATGCGAGTGTGACTGACTGTGTTTATCTGTGTTCTCATTGGTTTTGGAAACTTTCTTTGATTCACTGCTTCTCCTTGTCCCCATATCCTATGGCAGAGCTTTCCAAACTGTGTGCCGCGACACATTAGCGTGTCGGCGGCAGTGTGTAGGTGTGTCGTGCGAAATGCAGAAAATTTTGCGGAAGGGCACCGCGGAACTCCCTTACTCGCGTCTGCTTCCCTTGGCCCCTCCCCCGGAACTGAATTACTGTGTCGCGAAATGATGCCTGTCTAAAAAGTGTGTCACCAACATGAAAAGTTTGGAAAGCTCTGTCCTATGGTATAATCCTAACTACAGTTTGGGTATAAGTGAACAGTAATCTTAATGCCATAATCACATTTTATTATCCAGGATAATGTAGAGCCTATTTAAATTCTACAATGCTCATTACTTGGTATTTTGTTCTGAAGTTGATTTAATTCTTAATGTTGATTAACTCGCCATATTTTCAGCATTGCTTGACATAAAACAGGGCTGCGCAGTAATCTTCATCTTTACCAAGCTAAAATAGTTGTGTGGGGTTTTTTTCTTTTTAAGGTTGTGATAAACGGTGGAGCAACATCCAGCGGTGATCAGGATACGGAGGACACAGAGCTCATGGCAATCTACAGCACAGAAAATGGCATAGCTGAAAAGGTACATATGTAGAATTTAAATATGTTATACAGCTAGTACTGCTGTGATCTTCAGACAGACTCCCATCTGTTGTTTCTCTGTCTCATGGTGTTGTCATTAGTTCTCATGATGGCAGTGCTGAAGTACATTGACTTGGATTAACTTGGGAGTTCACCTTCATGTGGAGTCAGACCCTAGGTTGTGGGAATTCAAAAGCTGAGGTGCAAACATTTAGGATGCTAAAGTGTGCAGACAGCTTTCTTAATGCCTCATATGCTGTTTTTAGTAGCTTTCAACAATTTTTGGCCTTTTTATGTGATCTGTACCTCCAGAAATTTGTATCCTCTCATACAGCTCTTCTGTTTTGAAAGCATTTAGGACTGATAAAATGGATTGGCTCAAAGAAAAGGAAACAGAAGACCATAGGCTTTTCCCCTCTGTGCAAAGCCCAAGTTCCTGTGGGTCTTGAGGTTACAAGATCTTGATGCCAGTAAACTACAGAGCTGCAGCAGAAGCAGTCCCTTGTTGCATGCAGCCAGACTAAACTGGAACAGTATCTGCAACCCTTGTGCTTTTTCTGAAGTGCATTTTGGCAAGTGAGGTGGTATGGTTGAATGCCTACCAAAGAGGAATTTAAAGGGACTGGTTGTACATAGAGCCTGTTTTTTTGCCTAGTTTCTGTATGCAAAGCTATGCTAATTCCAGTAGGTTGGATTCCTTAGCTGTGCTCTCAAATTGAGGACATGGGTAATTTTGAATCTTTACATGAGTCTGTGGTAAGGTAACGACGCTTCTGATTATTGATGAAAGGTATTCAGACACTTTTGGGACATGGCAGTTTTGGGCCATAATTTCATTTTCTTTCTTTCTAGAATGTTGTGGAAATGAGAATTATAGGAGAGAAATGCTTTCCAACATATATCTCCATATTAAGGCTGTAGTGACGTGTCATCCTTTTCACGTTTCTCATATGGCCAAGTGTATGATCCTTCCTCTGAGTAGAGGACATTTTTATTATTTTTTCAAAGCATTATGAGTAAGGTTGAGGTCCTTCATATGGCCCATTAATGTTTTCTGCTAGTAGACTATTAACTGTTCAGACAGACTCCCATCAAAAGGACACCAATCGGCTTGGTTTTGATTTTCCAGCATTTATCTAAATTGTCTCATCTCACTATCTGATTCATAGATGTTAGGGTCGGAAGGGACCTCAATAGATCATCGAGTCCGACCCCCTGCATAAGCAGGAAAGAGTGCTGGGTCTAGATGACCCCAGCTAGATACTCATCTAACCTCCTCTTGAAGACCCCCCAGGACAGGGGATCTGCTTCTTGTCTGTCTCTGTCAAAGAATGTACAGATAAGAGGTCTTCCAGTCAAATGAGCTCTGAGTTAGGCTTTGTCTAAACAAACTTTTGCTCTAATTTAACTTGAATAGCTCAGACTGATTACATTAAACCAGTATGAGTCTTTGCTGATTCTGTTACTTTGGACTATAAACAGTTGATTTCAGTTCATCATATGTATATTTCGCATAAATTCAAATTATAGTTCAGGAAGCCTGCATTAAGTTCAAGACCGTGCATCAGCACAGCTGCTTGTTCCAATGTAATGATATCTCTTTAAAATTGCACCTTTAGATTAAAACCTTCTCATCGTTAACCAGCTAAATACTTGGCTCACATGTGGAGCATGGCAGTAACTATAATAACTAGCCAGGAGCTTGAAGAGATGATAATGATTTTCTTTTGCTCTTCCAGGAAAGAGAGAAATATGTTGGGCAAATCACTCTTTTAATCGATTAAGGGAAGTTGAGGACATTCACATAACAGGTTTTCTTGAACTTGCTCCTTGCATTAGGGATGCACATCACCATACCATCCATATACAATGTAATGATCGCACTGTGCTTCCATGAGAGGGAGAAGTGGTGGGCAATAGCAACCTTTACACGGTCCATGCTGTCAAGCATGCCACAAAGTTGGGTGCTGCTTGTCAAGTGGCCCATGAGAGTAGCAGCTCAGTTCTGAGCTTGTAGATGACCCTAACAAACTTCTGCAGTACCCATAGAGATTCAGTTCCATACCTTGAAGATTACTTGAGCTGGTTATGTTAAAGGTGTTAGATTATATCTATGTGGGTCATGTGGGTAGTGGATGGTATGGTTGTGTTTGGGTGAATTGGTTCTGTCAGGAACTGAGTTAAAAGATTGATCAGGTTTTTTGTTCTGGTAGACATGCTTTGAGAGAGATGGTCATTTATTTATAAGGACTTAAATATTCTACACCGTTTGCATAGGGTAGTTTGTGCCGAGGAAACATTAAGAATGTATCACACACAACATCACACTCTTTGAGTAAGTTCCCCAGTGCTTATTCAGCTGCACAACATGAATTTCTAATATGGGTGAGATCTTCCCATTCATGGTTAATGGTATTATTTCCCTGCCCGCCCCCTCCAGAAAGCCGAGAGTTGGATAGCACAGGATGATGAGCAACAATTCAGGAAACATGATATTCCAGCAAAATGATTAATAAGATGATGGCAAATATTAGCAGTTTTTTCTATTTTCTTTTTATAAAAGGACCCTACAAACACTGATGGTGTTGTCACTGTCTGTCCTTTGAAGTTGTTTTGCTGGTGATAGGGGAGACTTTCAAAGCCATAAGTGGGAGTTTGACATCCACATCCAAGTGACTTCCTTTAAAATCTTGGCCTCTTCCTCAGGTTTACCACTGCCTATTTTTAACCTAAATTTGAAACAGGACTTGCAGCCTTATTTCATGATCAGTGTTGGATTTGAAATGTGCTTTTTTTTGTTAGGAAGGCCATAATTAACGTTTTTGGAAGGGTGCTTTGTTAACTATTAGGGGTGTATCTGAGGTAGTTAGACAGCTGTGTAGATCTGCTTCTGTAACACTACTTGGTTTGCTCTTTGAAGTTCTGAGGTGTCATAGTAATAGCTTTGAAAGGCTAATAGCTTACCAGTATCATTTTGAATTGCAGTCTATTTCAGAAGGATGTTATCATTGCTGACAAAAACATCTAAAACACCAGCCCCCCCACCCAAAGACCTAGGGATTTGGATATAGAAAATCTGGTGGCTTTCTGCTGTGGAGGCTGAGTTATTTAAGAAGAGTGTCGCTGTGATTCTTGTCATTCCTCCTATCACTTAAGTTGGTTAATAGCGTAACTCGTTAAACTCCCGTTTTAAATATGGTTCAGTAAAGAGGTATTTTGACACCTGGCAAGTTGCAGGTTTTACCTGATGTTGATACTGGATGCTATAGACCATGGCCGAAGTGAAGTCTACCTGTGGTAGCAGTTAAAATCTGATAAACAGATTTATCAAAAATTGACAGTTGAATTGCACAACTAGATTAGAGGTCTTCAGATTTCAAAGCATGTATTTATCTGTCTTAATTATATTTTTATCTCTCCTCCATGGTTCTCATGTGTTGCCCCTTCTTACTCAGTTTGAAGCCAAGATAATCATGTGTAGCAACGATAATATTACACTTGACATTCATTGTTCAGCTAGCCCTGTGCTGTTCTGGATATTTTTCTGATTTTTGTACTGTGCACAAGCAGGTTTTCTCAATAATATGTTACTTGGCCTATAAAAACTTTATTCACTAAAGCCTACTCAAATTTAGACTATTTAGTATGACTTGAAACACACAAACTAAAAGGAAAGGACTTTATCAATTATCCATTTACTGTTAGAAGCAACTGTTGCCGTATACAATATCCTGTATTGTAAGCATATATTGTATTCGTCACCTTAGCAGTAGCATCTGTATAAATCCTGGTGGTTTTTGTCTCTTTTTCCATTCCTCAGCATCACTAATTAAGAACAAACAAAGGCACACTAAAAATTGCTTAGCAATGATGACTACAACTTGCATAATCTGAGCAGAGTAACTATATACACACTAGTCAGTTAATAGTCTGTATATAGGACCTTTAAATTAATTGACACATGTTGGCTTAAGTACTAGCCTATTAGCAAGAGTAAAAATGAACTGGGGTGACCCTCCAATATGAACGGTTGTGAATTGCCTAGCATATAATTGACATACTTGTTGTCATATTATTTAAACTACTTTTAATGCATGTTACTACATTTCTTGGGTTTGTTTATCTTTTCCTTTGGGGTCCCTTCTACTTTAATTATTTTATTTTAATAGCTCATGGTACTTGCCTCTAGATAGTTTACATTGTGTATTTCCTCTTCTTTTTTGTCATGTTTGCCTCCTTTTGTTCCTGCTTTGCTCTCTGTAGGTCTGCACTCTATTTCCTCTTCTCTTCTGTTTTTTTTCTGTTGGTGTCGTTTCCTTTGCCCCAAAAAGCTGTTTTTCAGTAACTTGTTTAATCAGTCTCTCATTCCACTACTCTACTGCATTGACTTGTATTAAACTCCTCGTGTTGGACTTGAAAAACTTAGCAAGTACTGATCAGCCAGGAGACTGAATCAGTGGACTATACCCACCAGAGAAGCCAAGCTCCACATGGACTGGCTCCTGGATCCCTACTAGCATGCTCTCTTTGCACTTAGTCTAAGGCTTCAGCTTTCATAGCCATCACCTGGTAGAGGTGTGAGGTTCCCTGTTTTCTCCTCCTTCAAGACCTCTTGTCTGTGGCAAGGTGATAGAGCTGTGTCCTACAAATACAACTGTGCTCCACAGTCCTACTCTGTCTTCCAAGCCCTACTTCCTTCTCAGTGGTGTGTTCAATGAGTCAATAAATAGATCACGGGGCCTGCCTGCAATTACTCATTGTTCTTCCTGTCTCGGGCGGCTGGAGCCGACCGGAGGATTGCTAATTTAATCGGACGTCAGGCGGGCCGGCGATGGAGAGGCGAGACAGCTTATTGGTTTTAAAAGATTGCTTTTACTTACGCCGCGTGGAATGGCAGCGCAGGCCTTGAGGTAGCTTGCGTTGTCACGGATAGCAAAAACGAGTTGCGAGTTAACGAGTTTACGAACGAAAAGGAACCTGCAGGATAGTGGGGTACGCGTAGGAGACGGGGGGGGGGGGGGGGGGTACGTCAAGGACCCGGTGACGGGGAGATATTGGTGGGTGATCGGTCCACCAAGTTTCCTCCATCACGCTACAGAGTTATCCGTAGTTACTCTGCCGCGTGCTCAGAGGTCTCCGACTTGGGTGGAAGTTGCATGAACTTTTATATGTCCGGAGTGGCCAATAACGGACTGCTAGGTAGGAATAACTAATGAGGCGGAACATGACCAAATTTGGGGTAATGGCTCCATGCGGTCTATTGTGACATGGACACCTATTTGATTTGCTTCTGACACTTCCAAACAGCAGGATGTGACCATTTAAGTGCCACCCACAGAATCCTAAATACCACCAGCAGAATTAAGGAGTCAGGTGATTTTCACCAGGCCACTGCTTAGCAAAGAGTCAAGGAACAGCAAAGATGTTGGCTCGCTGCAGATTTAGGACGGTAACAATTGTATTGTTTTCCCTTGTTGCATATTAGATAGGGCTTTACACTAATTGTGGGTCTAGCCCATTCACTTTCTGTAAGAATGAAAGCTTAGGTTATGTAGAAGTTGATGATATATGCCCTTGGACAACTTCATGCATCATGTACTCATGACTGAGTGGATTTCTCAAGCCCAGTGACTCAGCTGTTGTTTGCAGACAAAACCAGACAGGATTATAACGATAGTTGAAGACTCCTTCAAAAATAAAATAATCTCGGCAAGTATGCCAAGTATGAATTTAGAGGATGAGAAATATTTTTGGTTTACCAGGGATATAGAATGATTAAGACTTGTACTTGTCACAAAAGATATTGGATCAGATAAAATGCTGCAAGTTTTCTGATCACTCTGCTTAGACTTAGACTTGGACACAAAAGCCTGTGTGAGCGAACCCCTGGCACATAGATCTCTGAAATGGTAATTTGGGACAAACCACTTGGAGCTTTTAATGTATAGTATATGCTATGTCACCTACCCTTGCTTGACCTCTTATGGTTTGCCACTTAGTAAATCTAAAGTGCTTGTCTCCGTTGTGTTTTCATAATGGGGTGTCTGTTGCACAGCAGCTATCCTGCTGTAAAAACGCACCATGTTTTCATCAGTGAAAACATCACCTTAATGGTGCTGCTGGTCTGTCAACTGGAAGAAAGAAGGAACTGTTCTTCCTCGGTGACCCTAAGCTGTGCCTTTTGCTTTAATAGAACAGAAGTGCTCACTTGAACAATTGCTTTGAGCTGGCCTCTAGGCTAGTCGTATCGTTTTACTCGATCCGTACCTCTGAAGTCTCCATTCTTCCACAGGCTGGTGTGCAACTTCCCTGAGAAGTGAAAATGTGGCCCGAGCAGTTGTGTGTTCTACTAAATCTCCCTGGTGTGTAAAGCCAATGTCATGGACCAGTTGATTCCTATAAACTGTTAGAGGGTAAATTAAATGGTGTTTATTTAAGAGTCATACTTGGATGCATTGCAGTAAAAGTGAAAAGGGGAGAACGCTTAACCTGAAGTCACGAGTCTGGCAGAGTTCCCAACTTGGTTGTAGGCTTCCTCACATGAGTTTGTTCAGTTCAAATGGGAATTGGGGCAAGGTAGTAGTTGCATAAGTTATCATCCAGGGCTTAAAATGATAGAAATCAAATTTCTTCCTCCTGCTGTTGGCACTGAAAAGCACCAAGGTGTTTTGTTCTCAGCTTTAAGTCTCCTGTGTGGAAACTAATCTTTTACGCTATTTACTAAGAAGTATTTTGAAAACAACTGTGTTGCTTTTGGAAACTTTGCAGAATATGTGGGCAGGCTGGAAGATATGTCAAGACATGTAGTTCAGTGTTCAGTCATTTGCCCACCTTCTCCAAACTAGGACATATTCGAGTATGTAGGCCAGATTTGGATCTCAATTATTATGTAAATCCAGAGTAATTTGGTTGGGCTGTGGTAAATCTACCACCGAGTTGCTCTGATATAACTATATCAGTATGTTTTTCATTAAGCATGTTGGAGGCATGACTTATGAGAAAAGGCTGAAAAAACTAGGGTTGTTTAGCCTGCAGAAGAGAAGACTGAGGGGGGGATTTGATAACAGTCTTCAAATACCTAAAGAGTGATTAGAGAGAGAAGGAAGATGAGCTTTTCTCTGTGGCTGTAGGGGACAGGACTAGACGCAATGGCCTCAAGCTGTAGCCGGGGAAATTAAAGCTGGAGATTAGAATGAGCTTTGACTATGAAGGTGTCTGAGCATTGGAACAAGCTACGTAGAGAAATTGTGGAATCTCCATCCTTGGAGGTTTTTGAGAGTAGATTAAACAAGACTCTGCCTTGAGCAAGGAGCTGGACTAGTTGGTCTTGTGAGGTCACTTCCACCCTACTTTACTAAGATCCTGTGGGGTAAAAAGCAAAAATCTGGTAGATAAAAATGGGTTGAGACAACTCAAAGCAGGCGTAGGAAGTAATTATTATAACGAGGAACTCCCTTGTCCTCAGTTAAGATCTATTATGTAAGTAAAACCATTTTACGTTGAAATGTCCGTTGTTGACTGTTTTTCTACGTACTCATTTTTCACGCTCTCGTTTTTTATATGTATATACACAAACAAGTCTATCATGATAATCTCCGTTTGCTTTGGTGTAATTTGCTGCCAGACCAGTTATATCACAAGTGAACAATTATACTATGTCAGTATGAATAGGCAGGGCATAGGTTATGAGAGAGATTGAGAGAACATCTTTTATACACAGATGCAGTAGCTGTAGAGCTGAGGATATCAATTGGTCATCTCAAAGGTATGATTTGTTTTTTAAGATGTAATGAGCATTAATGTTGTTTGGGGAATAAAACAGCCGTCGTTTTCTGAGCCCCTTTTAAGTAGCCTAACACTTCCAGTTTAGTTTATTCTTCTGTAATATTAACTGCAGCTGTCTTTTTTTTTTTTTTTTTTTCTTAATTCTTTTTCCTCCCCCCTCTTTCAATTTGACAGAGCTCTCTGGCAGAGACGTTGGACAGCAGTGGAAGTTTAGATGCACAGAGAACTGACATGATATACACAATTGAGGATGTTCCCCCTTGGTACCTCTGCATATTCTTAGGGTTACAGGTATATTTCAAGATGTTGAGAATTTTTTCTTCGGTTTTGTTTACAATCTTAAAAAAAAAAAAATTCTATATATAGATTCATAGTTGTTAGGGTCAGAAGGGACCTCAGTAGTTCATCGAGTCCGACCCCCTGCTCTGGGCAGGAAAGAGCGCTTCTTAATTAATAAATTAATTAATTAAATAAATTTAATTTAATAAATTTAATATTAATTTAATTTCATAGAGTGAATATGATAAAGATGATGAGTAGTTGCTTATAATTTGCCTTCGAGGTTTTGTGTCCCTCTGAATTATTAAAGGTAGCTGGGAAGCTTGAAGCCCAATCTTACTCCATTTCCTTGAGTGTAATGTGGCAATGGACTGGGAGTAAAACAGAACAGATAACGTGTTAATGCTGGAGACTTTGGAAACCATTGGGAGTTTCTCTAAATACCTGCATCTGTTCAGTTTCTCCTTCAATACTGCCCAATTTTCATTCTTATTTTTAAGTGCAAGTAAGCCTTTCATGGCAGGGTATTCATCCTGTTGTTTCTTACCCTCCATTTCCCTCCTCACTATACTGATATTCCAGGTCAGCTATTGCATTTGAGGAATTTCAGAAGATTCATTTAAGAAATAACTACTTGGGCTGCTATGTAATGCTTGTCATTTTATTTAACTAAGTGTTAAAAATCATTCATTGCTAGAACAACAAGTCATCTCTTGAATTCAGGTAAGGGGAAAGCAGTGAGGGATGCAGTACAGGTGCTAAAATCTCTTTAAAGTGTTAATTCTGGGAATGACTAGCAAGTTCAGTGGCAGCTCTATCATTGGAAGGATGTTGAGATATGAAAAAGAGCACCTGTAGCCTGCTGAAATTGCTGGACATCTTTTAGGCATTTGAATATAGTGTACGTTTGCTAGTTAGTACAGCCTAATGGATAGCAAAAATTGCTGGATTGTCATACCAACTGTGTCGTGGACTTGATAAGAGGTTGGATGAGTCCTTGTCAGTTATATCTTTCCAAACGGGTAATAAAACCTCTGATGAAGCCCTGAGCTCACATTCACAAAAGCTTTCTCTCTCTGTATGTCTTAGTTTGTCCACAAGGTGCACTTCTACCCTGCCTTGTTCCTGACTTCAGGCAAAAACAGCTAACTCCGTCTCTCTGCTAATAAAACCTCTCCCAAAGGAATGTTGAGCTTTTGTTTAAAAGTACTTTGAGATCCTCAAACAAATTACTCCGTAGAAAAGTAAAGGCATCTACTTTTACTTTGGCATTTATTCAAGTTCAGCCAACTCCACAGGAATTCTTCTAGCTGTTTTTTTGAGGGGTGGGGTTTTTTGAATTTTTTTTTTAAACAAACCTAAACAGGGTACTCTTCTTATTAAACTACTTGGCTCCAAGCAGAATAAATCCATGATTGCCCAGTTTTCAGCAGTTAAGATCCTTTCTACGATATAATATTCTTGCTCAAGAACTTCTTAAATGTATTCTAAGTTCATGTGTAAGCAGACACTTTTTCACATGTTGAAAGGTGGAGAGAGTGATATGTTTGTTTAAATCTCTAACCTGCTTCAGCTTGGTTATCTAGATACTCTAGATACTCGCTTGTCAAGAATGAGAACAGTAACCAGTTAGCAATGTAATTTATTGTCCAGAAGTAGGAGACCAGGAGTAGCTGGCTAGAATTAGCTGAACACATGAGAAAGCATAGTGATTTGTTTACATTTTATATGTACTTTTAGGTGTATTAATGAAGCATGCCTTCTTCCTCTTCACAGCACTACCTGACATGTTTTAGTGGAACCATAGCAGTACCCTTTTTGCTAGCCGATGCCATGTGTGTTGGGTTTGACCAGTGGGCTACCAGCCAACTGATTGGGACCATTTTCTTCTGTGTGGGAATCACTACTTTATTACAAACAACTTTTGGGTGCAGGTGAGATCAGAACTCTCTTTTTTTTTTTTTTGTTACTGTTGTTGTTAAGATGTTGGTTGTCATGATACATATCTGTAAATGTATGTAACTTTGTCAGGATGAGGGCAAAATACCAGGTAATGGTTCAAATGCAAGATGACTAGGGAATACACCTGTCATCCTAACTGGGAAAAGTTTCACAACAAAGTGGCTGGAAAGACACCAAGGCTGCATACTGGACACATGTGGAAGGCACCAGGCAGAGCAAGAAAAAGACAGGAGAGAAAAGATGGAGAAGCTCTGAAAAAAAAATCACACCTCCCTGTGTAAAGGGTGATTCTTTAGCACACTTGTACTAGGAACCAAAATAATTTCCAGTTATTTTCAAAGGTGGAAGCTGTGCTGCTTCTGTCATGTTCTGATATGACAGTTTTAGTAATATGATTGGTAAAGTGTGGTGAGATAGTAGGATCTCTGGATTTCAACATGTATAGACTAATATGCCAGTGTACGTTTCTGCCACTTCAAGAGCCTAGAGGGAAAGAAGTGGGTGAACTCCATAGTTAATCCTGTAGTTGGAATGAAGGGTGAGATGCAGATAAAGACATTTCTGTTCTTTCAGGATTCTTGACTTTGGGTACTTCAATTATGAAGTGATTCACAATATAACAGCCAATATGAAAAGGGAAAGGTGACTTGGTCCCTGACCTTAGTTTCTGCCACTAACTTACATATTTCAGTAGATTCTGTGTATGGAGGCAAGAAACAATGTTTATATTTCTTAGCTGCCCAGAGCTGCTGATACCATTTGCCTGGGATGGAGCATCACTGTTAAGCTAGCTTGCTGGGGTTCTAACTCCTTTTAGTCTGCAGTTTTAATAAGCTCTATCAAAGACTGACTGGCTTTAATGGATGTGCTGTTTCCCAAAACAGGAAATTACTAGGAGTCAGCTTTAAAATATCAAAATAGTTAAAACTGTACATGGAGTACTGCAGAAAGGCTTTCAAAGAAACATTTGCCTAAACTTTTGACCCTGTATCTGAAAAGGAAAGGATGGAGGAAACTCACAAGGCTATTTCTGCATTCTTTCGAATGTAGCCAAGGAAGAAGTCTAGAAGAAAGATGCTCATTGTATTAGCATGTTCCATTATTATGAGTTTTGCTCTTCAAACATCTCTTCTTTCAGTCCAAAAATGATACAAGATGAAATCGGACAGAAAGCGGACAACATAGTCCAAATATAAAAGATTTACTCGAGAAACAGAGTCCATGGGTGGAGGAGACCTACTCAGCAGGGCGAGGAAGGCAAGCCCTTTAAACAAATCCTTTAGAATAGCAGGGGAAGATGATCAGCTCAGAAAACCCAACCCTTTTCAGACAGTCGAGGTTTCCTGAATTGAACATTTTCAAGCCTTGAGAAGGCATACAGCTAATGTGTTTTCTCATTTCCCTTCCATCTCCTTAGAAAACATTTTTATTCTTTTCCACCCCTTAGTTTTCTTGAAAGCTGCTTTGATATTTCATTCATCAACTGCAGACTACAGAAAGGCGTAGATGACACATTTAGAAAGAAGAGTAAAAAATGTGCCATTTTATTTATTTTTTTCTCAGAAGATTTTTTTCCTGGCAGATGTTTATCAGCTTCTGTCCTGCAGATTTTATTTCTTACTTGTTTTGTTTTGTATCCCCATTGACTGACTCACTTGTTACACTTAGTCAAAATATACCAAATCTTAAAATATACCTACTCCTAGCTATCAGCAGCAGCTTATGAAGGAGACAGGAGAATAGTAAAACATGGAAGACTCTTCATTGTCTTCATTCTAATCCCAGTTAAACTCCAGCAGAGATGCTCAGTTTATAGCCACTCCAGTGCTTTTCACAAACGTTGCTGAATTCCTGATCTTGCACCTTTATTCACACCTTCATTTACAGTCAAGGAACAGCTTGCATACATTGCAGACCAGTAGTTTGGGTTAATTTCAGAAGTATTTATTAAACTTCCTAAGAGTCACCATCCTGCCTTGCTGAAATTCTCTAAGTGTTGTGGGTCTGGGCTGTTTTGTTTTTCTATTTGCTTGTCTTATTCTTGGGTACTCTGTGAAGGACACTTGTCTAAAAAAAACACTTTTGTGCTTGGGGTTAAAACAAAGTGGCATGTGCATGCAGAGAAGTTTTTAGTGGCTGAGCGTCTAGTAACTGATAGCACATGATTTCTGTCAGTTATATTTGGGTGAGACTTGAATACAGCCACTGTATTCTACATGCAGTTCTTAAAGGTTTACTGGCAATCCTGTCAACTGAGAAGTATTTAGCAAGTAAAGCCATTATGATTTCAAAATGTCAAATTCCGCTGCTTTAAACGTCCTTTAGAAATGGATTTAACTTGGCATCTAGAGTCATTTGTAGTTAATCTGGAATCCATACTAATTTTAGGAATTGAAGCTATGGAATAAAGTATGCATTAATTCAAAAGGTTGGATGGGATCCAAAGTAACCATTATGATCTGGTAGGTTAAATCTGTACGAGAAACGTACTTCTGTGTTTTAGGTTTTCTGACAGTCCTGTTACCATAACGTCAGAGCATAGTTGCATTTAAAATAATTAATTTATTTCTAAAACAGCTCTTTAATTGCATGCAAAAGGTCTGCGTTGAATAGAGTTGCTGCCAAAATCTCAGTGAGCTAGGAAATTCAGAGTTGATGTCAAAACTACCTCAGGCCAGTTTTAGGTTTGGTTAATGCATTTGTATGGTCTTAATTATGTACGTGGTTGGCTGTTTTGCAATATAGTACCTTCAGGGCATAGTTTCAGCACTAATGTCAAGGCTGTGATGCAAATCAGGTAAATTTTAAGACATGCAACAATGTCTTTAAATAAAAGCTGGGATTATACTGATTTCTTCCTTATGATCCTCTCCCTTTCCCCCTCCAACAGCATCTTTAAGGTATTTAGTATTTTTCAGGGGGCTTCAGTATGCACTGTTTGTCCAGTGAACATCAAAGGGATAAGGTAAATTATTCACTCATAGCTACTACCATTTCCTCTCATCAAAAGTAATGTTTAGCTTTTTGCCCAAAGAAGAAGCCCACATAGAAAATATTAGCCAATATTTAAAGGACTGTGTGAGCAAGGTATTTATAGATGCCCCATGCACTGCATGTACTTACACTTTCATGCAATTGGGTTTTCTCAGTTCTCAGTGGGAGTGGAGCACCTTCTGTGAGAGAAGACCTTACCTGTCATAATTGACTTCTGAACTCACTTCCTGACTGCAAATTCACACATGTAGACTTCATAGCACGTGTTTCATCTCCCCTCTTTTCCCTGAACCCCCGTGTCTTGATTTCATTCTGCCTGGCACCTCTTCACCTCCCGTCACTGAGGTGCATTGCCTCTAGGTTGTGGAGCCTTTCATGTTTCTGCTACCACAGCTTTTCTTTCTGCTGTTCTGCACTGTTCATTAGGGATGTGCAAAACAGACCCTATTCGATTCAGATTCAGCCCAAATCGGGGACAGTCATTTGATTAGTTGATTCAGATCACTGTCCCTGATTCGATTCGGCCAAACCCAAATCTGAAGATTCGATGCTGATTCAGAGAATCAGCGATTCGGACGTAGACGCAGCTTTAAAAGGTTTTTTTTTTTGTTGCATACATTGAGGTACCGGTGTGGCTCGTGAACGCTGCAATGCTGGGGCGCATGGAGCGTCCCACAGGAGTGTGGGGGGACCCTCCACATGCTCAGCGGCAAACCTGGAAGTGGACCAGAAGTAGTTCCAGTCCACTTTCAGGTCCACTGGGGAGCACCCTGGGTGCGCCCTCCCCACCCACGCACTCCTCCAGCTCGGCAATCGGCCACAGGAGAACCCTGGGTAGCCCTCCCCCCAGACCCAGGAGGCACTAGTCGCCGAGCTGGGGGGCACCGAGGGGCCCCCAGCATGCTCCCGGTGGACCCAGTAGTGGACCAGAAGTGCTTCTGGTCCACTTCCGGGTCTCCTTGGGGGAGCCCCCTGCACTCCTGTGGGATGCTCCATCCGCCCCAGCCTCACAGCATTCACAAGCCATCTGGTACCTAGAGGTATGTAGAAAAAGCATTTAAAGCTGTGTCTATGTCTGAATCTTTCCAAATCTCTCCAAATAAATTCGGAGAGATTAAAGGGTCTTCTGATTCTATTTGGATTCAGAGATTTAGCCACCAAATAGGGCAGAATCTCTGCCAAATCGAATCGGGGACCAAAGCTTTGCACAGCCCTACTGGTTCATGCTGTTTAACTGAGCCTGCTAGGTTTGCGTTTTCCCTGGACTATTGCTTCTGCAGGTATCGGGATTTTTCATTGTGGCTGTAAAAGCAGCCATGAAGTAGGAACAGTAGCCAACGCCTGACTTGAACTGTAAGTACCCAGTGTGCTAAGGTTCAGTATCGGCTTTTGAAAAGGGCTGTGTGATTTTTTTTTTTTTTTTTTTTCTCTCGCTCTGCCTGCACCCCTTCAAAACCTGTGTTTAAAAGAACAGTTTAAATGCTGCTTTTTTAGCAGTGTATCTTAATGTGTCTGACAGCTCTGCACACTGCAGCTTGTAGAATAAATACAGGATTATGACTGTTTGTGAAAGTACTCTGTGTGTTCAAAACAGCTTTGTTCAAAGGGTTGTCTTAAAATTATTGCAGGTTTCAAATTTTACTGCATATACTCGCATGGAATGGCTTATCAGTTCTTATCTATGTAATTATTTATGCATTTGCTTAATGACCAATTTATGAATCAAAGTCATGCAGTTAAGGTGAGTTATTCTTCTTGGAGTTTGCATAAACAACTTGCCTCTCAGGAAAAATTTTTAAACAGTTCAGATACTGTAATTCTGCATGGTGGGCACCTAAGCAAGCAAACTCATGGTGTTTTATACCCTTTGTGCCCTGCTGCTTTTCCCATGGAGCAGGGTTTGTTGGACCAGCATACAGTAGCTCTGTCCCAGATAGCATACTGACTGTTTCTTTTCATTTGTTTTAGTCTGTGATCTCTTACAGCTCTTTGTGATGGTTGGTGAGCTACAATTTGCCTTTCTGCTCCTTTTATAAAAGAAATGTCTAATTCAAGAATCTAGTAACTACCAAAAAAAAAAAGGTTAATAAGTTAAGGGAAGGTTAACTGACAACTACAGGAAGAATATCTATGGGCTAAATGTTATGAAATAACAAATTATGACAGTCTCCATCTTATCTTTATATTTCCTTCAGGTTACCCTTATTTCAAGCCAGTGCTTTCGCTTTCTTAGCGCCTGCCCGAGCCATTCTCTCTTTGGAGAAGTGGAAATGTAATAACACAGGTAAATGCAAGTTATGTATGGTAGTTTTGTCCTAACGTGTCAATAAGTGATCCATGTTACCCAGAATGAAGCATCTGATTTGTTGCTAACATATCCCTTGATGCATCAGTGACCACTCTCTCTGAGTGGAGACTAGGAATAACATACCTTAGTTCATGACGTTTAAACTTTGAAAGAAATGAGCAACCATTTTTAAAGTGTATTAAGAACAGGGGAAATCCTCGGTATTGAACGGAAATGACAAAATACTTAATGATGCAGAAAAGATAGAAGGACTTGGTATATATTTTATTCCTTATTCAGAAAGAAGCAGGATGAGGAGGTAGTTTGTCTTCCATTAGGGACTAGGAAGAATGTTAAGCAGCACCTGCAAGAGTTGGGCAGTTCTGTACTGCTCCCACCTGGGTGCTGTAAGAGATGACTGCAGAACTCACCGATGTCAATATTCACTGAAGTCATTGATGGCTGGACAAGTTCTAATGTTGGGACAGTGTTTAAAGAGAATGAGCAGGATAAGTCCCTAATGACCTGGCCAATTAGTCTGTCGTTAATCCTAGGCAAGATATGGTAAAAACAGATACATGGTTCACTTAAAAATAATGAAAGGATAGAGATAAAATTCATGTCCATGAGAGCTTTTCTGTGGAAAATGTCAAAAAAAAAAAAAAAAACCTCGGTTTACCAGCCTATGCATTACATTGATTAAGAATGGGCTAATTGGCAGACCTTTGAAGTAGGCACTTTGTTTTATTCCTCTCTCTGCATAATCAGCAGGGAACTGAAGTACTCAGCCTGGGTGGCTTATACCTCATGTACCATTGCTGGTTAAAAATAAATAAATATATAAAATAAAAGAATCAGGCCACATTAGGCCTTGCACCATTTCTGTGCCAACTCCAGTGTCTTGAGTGTTTTTAGTGCCAGTTCATAGTCACATTTTAGATGAAGAATGTGTTTTAAACTTCACTGTCTGGGCTGTCTTGAAATGTGTTTCAGTTAAAAGACTGGCACGAAAGTAATTTCAGTGCTCTTAATTCACTTTGTGCCGAATTCTGTTGTATTTCCCATATTCTCTTAACTTTCCCTCCTTGCCCTTTTATGTAATATTAGGAGAAAGCTATCAAATATGTAAATATGCTTGTGAAGTAAAGTTGCTAGTGCAGGAAAACAGGCCATAGATGTTAGAAAACTTAACCCAATAAGGTGCCAGGGGTGGTAAGTCATATAAGAGGTGCATCTTGGCAGTTTATATGGCTGCTGAATATATTCCCAGGTTGATTTATCCATAGTGCCCTGTTAACAGCCAACCTGTACGTAACCTGCTATAGCTTATTGCTGTGTTGAGTATCAAGTAAGCTATTGGTTAATAAAAGTTACTGCGTCTAGTAATGTTGGTCATCTTCAGTTTGTGTTTGGAAATAACCATTGTCTGCTTCTAACTCTTAAAACAGGAGTTCCTTAGTGTTCCCCTAGTTAGCTGAATTTTAAACAGTTTGGGACTGTTTGAGATGCATTATGCAGTCAAGTAATTCTCACTATGAAAACTTTCCCATTCAGTTCTTCGCTAGAATAAAGAGAGTCCTCCTTGGACACTTGCCCTTGGACACTTTCCACTCTGGTAAAGTGGGCTGAGTTAGTGGCTAGTCTTTGGGAATTGCACGTTTTGTACGAAGAAGCGATTGTGTGGGTTCGACATAGGAAATTTCTTACTTTGAGAGTAAGTAGTTGTCAACAGGGAATGTTTGAAAACATAAAAAATTGCTAATGTGTTAAGTTAGATTTTACTTTGCTCAGTAATAACAAACCAAAGTGTGGCGTGGCAATGAAAAACATTTATTTTTTGTTTTTATAAGCAATAGCGGTTACTAATGGAACAGCAGAGCTGCTTCACACCGAGCATATCTGGTATCCCAGGATACGAGAGGTAACGTGGAATTGACCTTTCACTATTGATCATCCCATTTCAGTCGAGAATTCTTATCCAAGCGTCTTCATATTCTTGTTTTTCTTTTAAGTTGATCATTTCTTCTTCCGCTATCATTCGATTTGGATATTTCCCTTTATTCGCTTCATGCAAATATGAGTATTTCCAACTTGTTTGTTCATTGCTGAAAAGCAAATGCAATGAGTTAGTTACCACATTCAAAATTATATCCAGTCAAATACACGAGAGGCTAGTATTCTGCTGCTTTTATCATTTTGCAATTTGTGCTCACCTGTAAGTGTTAAACAAGGCATTAGCTGCTATCAAATGACTTGCCTACTCTTGTTGAGTAATTCAGTAGGCTGCTTCCTACAGAAAATGGCCTGCTGTTTAGAAACCTTGCTAAAAAGAGATTTTCTAAAGTTGGATACAGTTCTGATAGGGCATTGATTCTCCCAAGAGACTTGCTGAGTGTCCAAGTCCTTCTCCACTCCCACCATTTAAGTGTGAACTTCCTCATCCTTTACAGAGTCTCAGATGAGTGCTGAGCCCAGGCATCACACTATCGAGTGATAGATAGCGTAGTCCAAATCAAGGCGTGTCTCATGGAATTTATCTCCCATCCCGTTGCTTTGGGCTGCAAACTTTCTTAATTAAAAACAACCCCTCTCTCTTCCCCATGTTCAAACCATAGCTCCATCCTGCCAAGAGCCCTGCAGCCAAGAGGGCTGACAGTCTCCTGAGACCACAACGCTGCTCTATACCAGCTTCTAAGGAGCACTTGTGAACAATGCAGCATACACTGCCCCTAGGAGCTAAGAGCATCACCTCCGTGGCGCCACCAGCCCTTGCCGGTTCGATCTGAGAGCTTAAAGGTTAGCCTGGAACCCAGGTCTCCTGTATGACAGTGTGATGTGCTATCCACACAACTACCAGACTGGCCCACTGGTCTGTTGTGTAATAGTTTTGTGCAGAAAAACATAAGTGTTATGCTTAAGCAATAAGTCACTTAATCATAATGAGCTGTTGTATGACGAAAACAATTGGCTGTCTTCTTCTTTGTCACTGAATTCTTTAATTGCAGTTTATAATCCAGAGCAGAAAAAAGAAATGTTTTGTATCCTCAGTGGCATTAAACTCTGTCTTTTCCTATTCTCTGTGTGTTCAGATTCAAGGTGCTATTATCATGTCCTCCTTGATAGAAGTGGTGATTGGTTTCCTTGGGCTTCCTGGAGCTCTGCTGAGATATATTGGACCTCTGACCATTACACCGACGGTGGCCCTCATTGGTCTCTCTGGTTTCCAGGCAGCTGGGGAAAGAGCAGGCAAACACTGGGGTATAGCTATGTTGTAAGTACCCGTGGGTATTGTTGACTTTAACTGACTGTTACTGCTTTGGTGCAATTCATGGACCCTCTAAAGAAAAAAACAGTTTTAAAAAAGGAGTTACACTGCAAACATTCAATTTGCAACTTCTTTTGAACAGCCTGTCATTGTTATTTGGTGGCGTGGGCACAAACCTACTGTGTGAAGAGACGCATTATATTGTTAATTGTGATCTCTCATCCCTTGATAAGGGTGAACTGGCTTGCATACTACTCTCTGCTGTAGTTTCCTACATGTGTTGAGAGCTTTTTCCAAAGACAAAGAACAAACCACACTTTTTTGTTCAGTCACTGTCCTGTTTGCATTCTATTTATTGCATACATAGTTTCATAGTAGCTAGGGTCAGGAGGGACCTGAACAGATCATCTAGCCTGACCCCCTGCCACAGGCCGGAATGAATGCTGGGTTCACAAGACCCCAGACAGGTGATCATCCAACCTCCTCTTGAATATGCCCAAAGTAGGGGTGAGGACCACTTTCCTGGGAAGTTGGTTCCAGATTTTAGCCACCCTAACTGTAAAATATTGCCTTCTGATCTCCAACCTAAACCTATTCTCC